ATTATATTTTTTTAAATATTTTTTTTAAGTTCTCTAAATCCTGTGATCTTGAAAAGATGCTGAAAAGGTTCAGTAAAGTAATATGGAAATCACCACAGAGGTACTTGGGGAGTTGAAGAACAAGAATCTGGTGGTGTTTGCAGAAAACAATTTGATTTTACCTTTTTAAGAATTTTTTAATTATGTCTGTATAGCAATGTAAATAGCATTGGTCATGATTTTAGTAAGCAATTATTAAACAATTATATAGTAAAGTCACATGGAAATCACCACAGTGGTACTTGGGGAGATGTAGAACAAGAATCTGTTGGAGTTTACAGAAAACAATTTGATTTTATCTTTTTATAAATGTTTAAAACGTCTGTATAGCAACGTAAATAGCACTGGTCATGATTTTGGGAAGCAATTATTAAAATATGATACAGTAAAGTAACATGGAGATCACCACAGAGGTACTTGGGGAGGGTAAGAACAAGAATCTGGTGGAGTTTGCAGAAAACAATTTGATTTTATCTTTTTATGAATTTTTAAAATATGTCTGTATAGCAACATAAATAGCATTGGCCAAGACGTTGGAAAGCAATTATTAAAAAATTATACTGTAAAGTAACATGGAAATCAGCACAGTGGTACATGGGGAGATGTGGAACAAGAATCTGGTGGAGTTTGCTGAAAACAATTTGATTTGACGTTTTTATTCATTTTTAAAATGTCTGTATAGCAATGTAAATAGCATTGGTCATGAATTTGGTAAGCAATTATTAAAAAATGATACAGTAAAGTAACATGACAATCACCACAGTGGTACTTGGGGAGGTGAAGAATAAGAATCTGTTGGAGTTTGCAGAAAACAATTTGAATTTACCTTTTTATGAATTTTTTAAATATGTCTGTATAGCAATGTAAATTGCATTGGTCATGACTTTGGTAAGCAAATATTAAAAAATGATACAGCAAAGTAACATGGAAATCACCACAGTGGTACTAGGGGAGGTGAAGAACAAGAATCTGGTAGAGTCTGGAGAAAACAATTTGATATCCTTTTTTTTTTATTTTTTTTAACGAATTTTTTTAAATATGTCTGTATAGCAATGTAAATTGCAGTGGTCATGATTTTGGTAAGCAATTATTGAAAAATGATAAAGTAAAGTAACATGACAATCACCACAGTGGTACTTGGGGAGATGTAGAACAAGGATCTGGTGGAGTTTGCAGAAAAAATTTAGATTTGACCTTTTTATTAATTTTTAAAATGTCTGTATAGCAATGTAAATAGCATTGGTCATGACTTTGGTAAGCAATTATTAAAGAATGATACAGTAAAGTAACATGACAATCACCACAGTGATACTTGGGGAGGTGAAGTTGAAGGATCTGGCGGAGTTTGGAGAAAACAATTTTATTTTATTTTTTTATGAATTTTTAAAATATGTCTGTATGGTGAGGTAAATAGGATTACTCATGAGTTTGGCATGCAATTATTAAAGATTGAAACAGTAAAGCAACATAAAATTTACCACAGTGATACTTGGGGAGATGTAGAATAAGAATTTGCAGAAAACAATTTTATTAAAATATTTGTATAAATTTTTAAAATATATATACCAACACCAAGTGTCTCAGGCCAAAACATGCATAAAACAATTTACAAAAACATTTTACAAACCCACTGCAAATGTTTTATTGAAAGTTTAATACATTCAATAGAATTAAACAATAAAATGCCATTAAATAAGACGTGTATAATGTGTTTTTAATTAGTCTAATATTATAGATTAATTGACTGTGGTTTCAGTTTGATACGCGCTAGGACCCACTCTTTTTTAAAAAAATTATTTGCAAAGGTCTCAAAGCTTCATGTCCATCACTACCACGTAACGCCATGTAGACGCGCAACAAATGTTTCAGCGTAGATGGCGTGACTGCAGTCTTTTTGCAGACAGTGCAAAGGCAGAGTACCTACAATAACTTCAAAATAGCGGTAAAAATCAAGTTTGAGATCATTTTAATTAAAACATCTAATTGCCAGATTTCCAGTGTCCTAACCCATAATTAATTTTTCTGAACAAATAAAAATCTTTAAAGCCATTTTTCTAAGTTTCACACAGTCTAGCGAGTTTCACACTCTGGAGCAGAGCAGCAGTCCACTGGCCACTCAAGTGGCCACGCCCTTAATTATGCAGAACTTTAAGGCTTAATATAATTTAAACGGATGAATTATAAAAATATTCATCCCCCTCACAGTTGTCATGAAGGGCAAAATTACCTATATAGACCAAAACCACTTTTTGTACCAGGCTGTAAACATTTTTTTATGCTGTAAAGTTGGGCATTTTAAAGGGGTCATATGATGCGATTTCAATTTTTCCTTTCTCTTTGGAGTGTTACAAGCTGTTGGTGTATAAAGAAGATCTGTAAAGTTACAAAGACTAAAGTGTAAAATCCAAAGAGATATTCTTTAGTATTGTTGTTGCCGCCGCTTCCATGTCGTGAAGGCGTTGTGTGTTTCGTTGTGAAAGTGAAACTACTTTATTTGGCCTTCCAAAAGAGGACGATATCCGCTTCGTCATGCCTAGAGCTGATCCGTGCTGGTCGCTGAGGAAATACATCAACTTCGCGCTGTGGATTGCAGGATCGGGTTTCACCGTGGACGAAGCCCGGGGTCGCCACATGGTTGCCGCAAGCCCGCCCGCCGCTGCTCACTCAAGCCGGCCTCCGCTCACTCTAGGCCGCCGGCCTCTGCTCACTCTAGGCCTCCGGCCTCTGCTCACTCTAGCCCGCCGTGTGTGACGCTGTGTTTCGGTGAACCTACCTATTTCCTTAAAGTTGGCTAATCATTTTATTGACAAACCACAATACATTGTAATTGGCATAAATGTCAATATAGTTTGATTTTAAGGTCATTTCACAGAAATACTAAGGTAATTGTGAGATGAAATCTACAATAAGAAAAAAACATATTGTGAGATATTAAGTTGCAAGAAAAATAAACATGTCTTTATAATTAATTATATATATAAATTTCAAGACATTAAAATAATTTTTTTACCCAAAATAAAGACAAAAATACTGATTAAGACACCTTTTTAGCATTATTTTGAATATATGCTACCCTTCAAAAGTTTAATGTCAGTAAGATTTTTTTTTAAAGAAATGAAAATTTTATTAGCAAGGATACAAATATTATTTTTCAAATAAATGCTGTTGTTTTGATCTTTCTATTCATCAAAGAATCCTGAAAAGAACGTCTAGGTTACGTATGGTAACCCTCGTTCCCTGAAGGAGGGAACGGAGACGTCACGTCGGATGACCGACGAATTGGGATCTCGCTTCGAGAGACCAATCTACTTCGAGTGTAAACTAAACGAGCCAATGCACATTGGCATGC